CTTCCCAAAGTCTGTTCTATACCACATAGTCTTTAGCAGAAAAGTTTCAATAGCTCCCAGCTGAGGGCTCAAGAGCCCTGGGGAGCCAGGGGTTATACAAGTGTCCTGAAATCCAGATGCATATCCAACATTATCTATTTCCAGAACAAACTAATCTATCACACACACACATGTCCCACCATGAGGTAAACACGCAGAGATGTTATTCAACGAGATTAATGAACACAAAGTCATTCAGAAGTCCTCCTGAATTGGGGGCCACGTGCCACCATTGTGTTCATTCAGTGAACTTTCAATGAGTTCAAGTATTTTACATTAGGTCCACAGAAGAGCTGATGTCCCAAAGGGTCCTGTTGGTGAAGGTGAAAGAAAATCGGAGGAGAGCACAAGAGACTTGCGGAGTCACAGCTGTTTCCATATCACCCTGGAGGCCACCAGTTGTCTGCTCCAGAGCACCTCCTTTCCCTTCACTTTTCCTTTTTAGCTCCTTTTCCCTAAGGGGAAGCAAACTGCTGACCCTGTTGGTGATTCTTCTTCCATATTTGGATCAACAAACCTGAACTGTGTCACTACCTCCAGGAAATGAAAGATTCAACTCTCCAAGCAAAAATATTCTTGAAATGTGTGAGTGAAACAACTCAATGATGGCGATTCCCTCTTCACCCCAAGAGGACCCTGAGAGTCATGCAGCTAAATCCATATTCACTAATTGCTTCATTCTTTTTTTCTTTTTTGAGGGGTACTGGGGCACGCAGGGGCACTCGACCACTGAGCCACACCCCCAGGCCTATTTTGTATTTTATTTAGAGACAGGGTCTCACTGAGTTGCTTAGCGCCTTGCTGTTGCTGAGGCTGCCTTTGAACTCTCGATCCTCCTGCCTCAGTCTGCCAAGCCGCTGGGATTACAGGCTGTGCTTCTGTGCCTGGCAAGCTTCATTCTTACTAACAACTCCTGTAGTTAAAAATAATCTGTATGAAGAGAGCAAACCAATAACTTGAAAAATAAAACAGATTTCCCATTTGCCATAAAAATATTTCACATTTTATTAAAAAAAAAAAAAGCTCTTATGAAGGTCACGGATGACTCCCCATCTGTCAAAGCCAAGATTTATTCTTTGTTCTTCCCACACTTGACCTCTGAGGACGCAGTACAAGCCTTGGTGTGTGGAGGGAGACCCCGTGACACCACAGCCTGTTTTACTTCTCATTCAACTTCCCTAAGCACCCCAACAGCTCACTGGCTAAACAACCTCCCCCTCCTCCCCCTCTTCCCCCTCTGGCAGTACTAAACTGGAAATGCCTCTAGCCCATTCACAGAGCCTACAAGCATCTTCCTAATCTCTGACCCCGCCTCCTTCTCTCCCTGCAGCCCCAGGCTCTCTCCAGGGCGTCCTGTCTCAGGGACTTTGCACCTGCTGATTCTTCCATGTGGAAGCTCTTCTCCCAGATCTCAAGCAGGCACCGCATCTGATGCATCCGTTACTCTTTTCACGTGTGTTTTCCTGTGTTGCATCTTCCCACAACCCCCACTTCCCAAGGGAATAGGACAGAAATTCTTGTGGATGTTATTTGAAGCATCTCCCCAGAGCCTGGGCAGACTTGATTTTTTCTTGATTCCTAGTAGCATCTTAGGATATATTTTTCAACTGATCCATATCTGATCTACATCTGCAAACTGTGAGGATTCTATAATCCAAGATTGTCAAAGCTGGAATAGAATCCGCCCAACCCCATTGTTTCACAGATGGGAAAACAGGCACAGAGTCACGTGCCCAGCTGCACTGATGCGGATTTACCCAAGCAGGTCAGCCGTGCGTGATACTTAGCCTGCCCCCCCCTTTCCGCGCCCCCGTCAGCTGTCATAACCACAAAGGCAAGGGTTATTTGCTTCTGAATCTCCCTGCCGAGTTTTCTTGAACACAGATCTCAGAACACATTTTGCTGCCCATCTATAAAACATCTTTATTAGCACAAAACCAGTTCATATAACTTCTTCTGTAATATCCGTGCAGGCCCAGCTCTGAGTCCTTTAGTAGATCTATTACCTTGCAGGAAGGTTCTGCTCAGGAAAATATAACCTTCAACAGGCAGGATTGATCCACTAACGCGGGCATCAAGGTGATTTGCACCATCTCTAAGTGAAAATCAGCCATTACTTGAGAGTCTTTAACTCTCTTTGAACAATAAACAAGTGGAGTCTCAGCCAGTTTAGCCAATTTATTTATCTTGAATACTATTACTTTTGCCAGAGAGTCATTTCTAACATCTGACAGGTTTTATTAATAAGTGGGGAATTTCATCAATGCATCCACGATGCTAATAAGTGAAGCCTTGGGGTGGACTGAGATATGGAAGACTGTGTCCCCCCACCCCCACCCTGCACTGGGGATTGAACTCAGGGCACTTAACCACTGAGCAACACCTCCAGACCTTTTTTTTTTTTGGTATTTTATTTAGAGACAGGGTCTCACTAAATTGCTGAGGCTGGCTTTAAACTCATGATCCTCCTGCCTCAGCCTCCCGAGCTGCTGAGATTACAGGTATGCGCCACCAGCCCAGCTGCCCCTCTCTTCTTAACTCTCAGATTCATTGACTTCAAGTTGGTAACTTAAAGTTAGATGTGGTAGAAATCTTTACACTATGGAAATTAATAACTGCCCCCTCCCCGCCCCCAGTTAGCTCTTGAACATTTTCCAGTGTACCAGAGGAGAGCTAAGTGATCTCTGGATTGTGGCTTTCTAATAAAATGTTAGCTGACCTCCTCCCCCTCACAACTAACTACTGCTATAACCAGTCAATCTTGGCTGTAGGTTAGAAATTACCTGGGGAGCTCTAGATTAATACTGATTCCCAGGTCCCCATTGGTGAGGTTCCACCTTGACTGGAATGAAAGTTTTGAATATCAGGGTACATTTAAGTTCACCAGATGATTTTAATCTGCAGCCAGGGTGGCATTCATGCCTGTATGTCACACTATGCCACACATTCTGACAGTGCCACAAAAAGGTAATAGCCAAACCAGGATGAGATGGGCCTGCCGACCCCTCAACCCAGGGCTTCTGGGCAAAGAAGAGAGGAGTGGAAAAGAGTTCCCCATTTCTTCTGAGGGCTGTTTGCAAATGAGTCAGAGAAGAAGACATAGCATCTGGCATTGCAGGTTCGGAGTGGACAGGGACAACAAAGCAGCCCTGTGCCCGTTCAGAGCTCCAGGCTCCCTCTCCAGGGACATCTCACCCTCATTCCTCAGGGCATCTCATGGGGAGGGAGAGCTGAAAGGGTCTGATCAGAAGCTGTGTGTCACCAGGCAATATCTGAAAGACAACAGGAAGGAAAATTCAGAGCAGAGAGGAGCAGGGGTAGCTGGGGCTGCAGCTTCATCCCGGGCCTGGGGAAGGAGGTCAGGAGGCTGGCCTCTGGGAGGCAAGGTGCTAAGCTAGCCGTCTAGGGATGGAGAAGGCTGCAAACTTCTAGGGGCAGGGACAGAGACCAGTGCCTCAACAGTGGCTATCTCTGCAGGGCCGGGGAGGCTGTAGCCCCTGGAGAGAAACAGTCAGTCTTTCTGGCTCTTGGCTGTTCATTTTAAGGTAACTGGCATGGGCCCCTGGCTCCACTTCTCTGCCCCAGCAAACACCCTGCAGGGCCCCTTTCCTACCAGGAAGCTGGTTTCTTTTCACCCTTCCAGGAAGGACATTGCCTTCTTCACACCCCCACCCTGACTTTCTTCCTGCTACGACAGAGACTGAGCGCTAGGACCAGCCTGGCCTCTGTGTCTTCACTTCTGTTGGTGGGTGTGTGCAGAGGGTGTGGGAGAACCAGGACAGGGCCCTTGGAGAGGGTGCCATTCCTAGAACCACCACTAGGGACCCCACCCAGCACTGCTGGAGCTCATGACCTTTGGGCCAGCGTTTAATTACTGAATGCCACAACCACAGATGGCCTGGCTCCCAAGCCCTAGGCTGAGCTGGGCCTGGCAGTCAGGAAAACAGCAGTTGAGTAAAGCTGGGGCCATCTAGCGTGGAAGACAGACTCAATGGCACTTCTGATCCCTGGTGGAGAAAAGGCCTGGTGGGGGAGGCAGGGTCAGAACAGGCTGAGAGTGCAATGAGAGAGCTGCCTCCCCACCCACCCCGCAGCCTTGAGTGTGGGTCTGTATAGTGGAGGGTTTCCAGAAGGAAGAAGCCTTGGGGGCAGGGCTGGGACATCACCAGGCGCCCAAAAGGGGAATTTCCATGGTCAGTTGGGGAAAGGCCAGGAGCAGATCTGTTCCAGGAGACTGCAGCTCTACGGGGGTCCCTGAGCCCCATCCTGGACTGCTCCCCTTCTTTACTCCATTCACCTCTAGGACAAGCATTTGCACTCCCTCTCCCCCCATCCGTACTGGGATTGAATCCAGGGGTGCTGTACCACTGAGCTACACCCCCGCGCCCGTCCTTTTTATTTTGAGGCAGGGTCTCATGAAATTGCTCAGACTGGCCTTGAATTTGTGATCTTCCTGCCTCAGCCTCCCTAGTTGGTATTACAAGCGTGCGCCACTGCGCCTGGCCTATTTGCACGTTTAGCACCTTGAAAGTTAATTCCTGCCCTTTCAATTCACTTCTCCCCAACCCCATCCCCGTGCGTGTGTGTGTGTGTGTGTGTGTGGGGGGGGGACTAGAGATCAAACTCCCGGCCTTAGGCTGCAAAACAAAGCTAAGCACCCCGCCTCCGAATGCGTGTTTTCCAAGCCCGGGGTGAAGCAAGCTCGCGCTCTCTCTAGCGCGCTTCTAGTTTACTCTCTCCCACGCCCCACTCTACGCTTGGAAAATAGGCACTGCCAGAGCTGAATGCCCGCTCAATTGCAAACCCGGCCCCCTCCTCTAGCTCTGTCTACCCCAATCTCGAGCCGCAGCCCCGCCCCCGGCCCGTCACCTCCCAGAGGCTGGGCCGCCGCCTCTCTCCCATTGGCCGCCGGGGCCGCTGGCTCCCCGGCGGGGGCAGTGATTGCGGCGCGCCCCTGTCAGTCCGGAAGAGAGCGCTGGTAACTGGGCGGGCCGCCGGGTAGCCGCAGGTGGAGCCTGGAGCAGTGGCCAAGGAACGGAACCCGAACCCAGAGTCCCCGAAGCCCGGAATCCCCGAAGCCCTGCACGGGGACCCGCCAGGATGCCCCGCGGGGACTCGGAGCAGGTGCGCTACTGCGCGCGCTTCTCCTATCTCTGGCTCAAGTTCTCGCTCATCATCTACTCGACGGTGTTCTGGGTGAGTGATCCCAGTGGGGTCCGGGCCGAGGTGGGTGGAGGTCCGCACTTCCTCGACAGCTCCCACGCGGGGCCGGGAGTTGTTTCCAGATTTAGCTGCTCCGGGGAGAGCGCGGGGAGCGCCTTCTGGCTTCTCGCCAGACTCTCCCTGGGACCGGGAAATTCTGCCCGCTCCAGTTCAGCCCTAATTTCAGCTGCTTCATCTGGAATGTTAGAGCCAGTTTGCCGACCAAGAGCAACTGTTACCTGAATGGTGGTTGAGTCTGCCACCCGAGCCCTCTGCGCATCAGCTGGCAGGCTGGTAGGCGGTGGTTACGTTGTTGGCCGCGCCCACCACGCCTGTAGGGTGTTAGAGTTTGCCTCCGATCAGCGGGTGAAGAAGTGGTTAGTCTTTGTGATTGGAGTCACTTGGATTCCGGGTCTGGTCCCCGCAATTACTTGCCTGTACCCCAGGTCAAGGCACTTCCCCCTCTGCATCTTGGTGGCTTCTTGGGTGGAAGGGGGATGCACGTGCTTCCGCCCTGAGTGGAGGATTACAGTGGACAGAGGTCTCTTCAGCTCCCACATGCTCAGTTACTGTTTCCACTGTCACTGGGCTTTCCCTCCTCTGCTGCCTTGTTGAGGAGCAGAATGGCAGTAGTTGGACACTAACTAGGCTTTGAATCTTGTCGCTATCATTTTCTAGCTGAGTGATCTTGGGGAAGTTACTCTGGGCCACAGTTTCCTCATCTGCAGATGGAGGCAGTAATTATTTTCACCTTTTAGGATGCAGGCGGAGATTAAATGAAATGTAGTGCTTAGTATGGAGATCAGTGCAGAGTTCAAGAAGCAGGAGCCATTATTCTGGGCAGGGAATCTGGAGATAAAGTAGTGTAAGCTCCCTAAGAGCCTGGTTTTTATAAGGGCATTTTCAGACGACCTGGGCCTTAGCGAAGAAATCAGGATACTTTTCTACAGGCCGGCTCTACCCCTGCCCCTCTAGAATAGCTCCCCTGGCTGTGCTCTGCCATAAGGGCAGACACTCTGTGTCCCTCTGAAACTCACTCTCTCTCTCTCTCTCCTAGTTTCACCCCCAGCCCCTCACTGAACCTTTTCTGCTGACAGAAGCTGTTGAATTTGCTATCAGGACTTTTGATGGGACCCCTTTGTGGGTGGGAACCCACATCATGATTCTAGTCCTACTCTGTAACTGGCCCACTGGGATATCTTAGGCAAATCCCTCCTCTGTTTTGGGTCTCAAAACTGTTCATTAATTTTGCCATGTAGAAAACTCTAGCCTCAGGCCAGCTTCCAGTCCAATTTCCTGGCTCTAGGTACAGTGACAGAGAGATGCGTAGTACGTTTTGGGGCTAAAGGATAGGGCAAGGACCAGGGCAGAGGCTACAGAGAAGCAGTTGTGGGGTTGGGATGGGTGATTTGAGCTGTAATTCAGTGGTTCTCAGCCAATGTTGCATCAGAACCAACTAGGGCTTGTTTTTGCAGTGTGGGAGAGAACCCAGGGCTGTGCGCATGCTATAGGCAAGTGCTCTACCACTGAGCAACACCCCCAGCTCTCAATTAAAGAATTTTTAAAAACACTACAGATTCCTGTGCCCTGGCAAAGGTGTTTATTTAAATTTACTTAGGCTCCAGGTAATTTTAGTAGGCAGTCCAGATTAAAAACTGCTGCATTAGGGGCTGGGGCTGGGGCTCAGTGGTAGAGCACTTGCCTAGCATGTGTGAGGCACTGGGTTCGATTCCCAGCACCACATAAAAATGAATGAACAAATAAAATAAAGGTATTGTGGCCATCTACAACTAAAATGTAAAACACACACACAAAACTGCTGCATAAGATGGTCTTATGTGTCCTGTAAGTCCCCAGGGATTCTTTGCCCACCCTTGTCTAGCTTAGAACTCTTCTTTCTTTCTGCAGTTGAAAGCAAAGGCCAAGGCTGATCCTTCTCCTGGCCATCTCTTCACCTCCCCATGCCTCTGTTTTCTCATCTGTGGAATGGATAAGTGATCCCCTACCTTCCACCCCACAGGATTAATAATGTAGTGAGAGAAAAGTACTATACAAGGATAAATTATGCAATCGCAAATTTCAAGGACTTGTTCTGTCATTGTCCTTTGCAGCCACCAGAGAAGCCCACCCCTTGGCCCTTGCTTTGCTTTGCTTGAGGCCAGGCAGGACTCAGAACTTGGAAGCCTTCTTCTGGCCACCTGAGGTTGCTTTACTGCTGTCCCTGGAAGTATTTCTGCTTAATAATCTTACCACCGTTGCCAAGAACTCAGACACCTGCTGGCTCTGCCGGGCAGCTCCAGGTGCCAGAGTTTGACTGCAGGGCAGAGACTCAGGATCTGAGTTAAGTAATTTGTCCTGAACTGAGTCTGCTGTTAATTGGAAACCATTTGCAGGAAAGCCCATTATCTTTGTTCCATCCCTCTACGAGAGGAGGGTGGGGCAAGGGTTATTTGCTTTATAAGCCCAGAGTGCTAACGCTTTCTGTCTTTAGGCCTGGGGTTGGGACCCTAAAATTTACCATATAGCCATGCACTTTCTGTAAGACTCCCCTTAAAAATTATTTTTGACAGGAAGTGCATGCCCTCTGTGCAAAATTTGAAAGCAGAAAAGCATCAGTAACAACCTCCCTTCTTCTCTCCTAGCTTACCCCGTCCAGAGGGACCCTCGCCACAGGTTCTTGTGATATCATTGACTGAGGTGTCCTAGGCAAAGGATGTTGTAGGCACAAACATCCTTGCCTATAAAATAATATAAATAGTATATACAAAATAATATATAGTATGTGTATAATATATATATATATATATATATATATATATATATATATATATATATATATATATATTTTTCCACATAAGGCAACACCGTACCCAGAACCATGTATAGCCCCTTACTTTTTCACTTAAATCCTTGGAAAGTTTGGTGACCTGCCAGGGGCTGCCTCATTCTCGATGGTACATAGATGTCACTCCAGGCTATGCCAGAATTTATTTGAACAGGCCCCGCTAGGGAATTCTGAGGTTGTTCTAATCTTTTGTGGGAGCAGGCAGGTGATACTGTGGGGTTTTTTTTTTTGTGTGTGTGTGTGTGTGCCTGTCTGCAGGGTGGTTTCTAGAAGTGGAGTTGTTGGCTAATGAGGATGTGAGTGTCTACCGTAACGCAGAAGTTCAGCTAACACAGCCACATGCGGCTGGATGAGTTTTTGAAAAGTGAGAGCTGTGCACCATACGTCAACTCCAGCGCCAACCAATGGAACAGAGGAAAACGGAGGGGCCCTCCTACTCCCTTCAGTCTTTTCCCTCCCGTTCGCTGCAGGGCCAGTCACCACGGGAACCTCTGGCGTGATAGAATAGGGTTGCTTGGTTTTGCGTGGGTATTTACATTTTTCTTTTCTGTTTTGCAATGCTGGGGATGGAACCCAGGACCTTGAGCATTCTAGGCAAGTGCTCTACCACTGAGTTACACCCCAGCCCTTGATTTTTTTTTCTTTGTATTAAAGATTGAACCTAGGGATGCTTAACCACAGAGCCACATCCCCAGCCTTTTTAATATTTTATTTAGAAACAGAGTCTTGCTGAGTTGCTTAGGGCCTCTCTAAGTTGCTGAGGCTGGCTTTGAACTCGCAATCCTCCTGCCTCAGCGTCCCAAGCCACTGGGATTACAGAAGTGTGCCACTGCGCCCAGCCCAGCCCTTGATTTTGATGTTGTTAAATTTCCCTAAAGAGAGGTGATACCAATTGTAATATTTACTTCATATATTTCTTTAAACTGACTTCAAATTTAAAAGGGGGTGCTGTATCTTTTCTACTAACGGAAAACCTGTCCCCTCAACATAGATAGCAGATAATGGTTAAAATAAAATACAGGGATAATGAGACAACTTTATGAAATACTAGCTACATGTTGTGGGTGCTGGGGTCACCCTCTCTTTTCAACAGGCAGGTTGGCAGGTACTTTAGCAGCTTGAACTTTAGACTGAGACTCATGTGATTGGAGGGGTCAGAAGGGAATTGACTCCAAAGAGAAGTTCAGGCCTTTGAGTCAATATGAATGAGACCCAGAGCCACCTACAGTGATCTCTGGTTTTGCACCGGGGGCCCTTTTGTTTGCAGAGGGGGCTGAGAGACCCAATGTGTTTAGGGTCTCTAGGGGAGCTGGCCTGAGCCCCCCAGATCTCTTTTCCTCTGCAGGCCAGTTCTCCCAGCTCTTTCCAGAATGTTGCTGAAATGGTTCCATCAGAAATGGGCTCTGCCAGAGACACTCGGAGCAGGCTCTTCCCGCAGTCCAGGGTGAATCATTCTGACACATGCACCCTCAGACCACTGGGGACACGCCTCTAATTTTAGCACTGCCCGGGGTATTCGAGAGATCTGCTTACATGGCTGCTTTTCCTTGCTGGACTGTGGGCTCCTGGAGGCCAGGGGTGTGGCTCATTTGAGTCTTCCTCTGAATGCTGGGCTTGGGGCTGGGCACATAGTAGGTGCTCAGGGAACGCTTGTTGCACGAGGGCCGTTGAGTCCTAGCTGTGCTACAGGCAGGCATTGGGCCTGGGGCAGAGGCTGGCTTGCCGGGCAGCCCTGGTAGTCGGGTAAGCAGAGTGGGCTGGGCAGACCGTGCAGCCACTGGCTCTCTAGGATGCGCCAGGCCCCGCTGCCGTGGCAGTGGGGCAGGGTTTCCAGCTGGGTAAGGGTGTCAGGGCTGGGGTGTCGCCTGATAAGGGAGAAAAGAGCCCAGGGGGGCCGGAGAATGGGGAGGAAGCGCGCGTGGACAGGTGGCAGCGGAAATGAGTGCCAGAGGCAACCTGAGCTCTCTCTGGCCTCCTTCCGGGATGGACGGGTTCAGCGGAGCTTGGCCCATGAGTTTTGTACTTCCCTGTGGTGCCGTGGTTAGAGGGTGGCCTCTGTCCCAGGCTGCGCGGGTCCCACATCCTAACTGGCACGCACAGGTTGAATGGATGAGGCCCTCACTCCCCGGGCCTCCTTTACCTATGGATG